ATTTCCTTTTTTTAATGGCTTGATAATCTTTCACATGAAGATAATATCGATTTTTTTATTTACATGATTGTAGAAGAATAAGCAAATTTGATCGAACACAACATTTACAAACAACATTTAACTGAAATAATTACGATTGTTCGATGCAGTGAGCTTCGTCGACAGCAACACATACGATGTTGTCTTGAAGTTTTCATGCTGTCTTTGACCTCTCTGGAGTTGAAACTCTCGGGGATCAACATTAACACATTGTAGTCGATGAAATCGCCGTCTCTCACTTCGACTATAAATTTGGCTGCATTTATCAGAGAAATAAAAGGAGAAATCACCAATACTATAGATGAACGGCAACCACGAAAGATGTTAAATATCAACGGACACAAACTGTATAAAAAGGATTTGCCAAATCCAGTACTCAAACGGACGAACTCATCTCTACCTTTTGACAGATGAAACCAAGCTTCCATTTGTTCTGACTTTGGTTTGAAGTCTTAACGCTCTTGACCCGAGAGCATATCTTACTGCTGATATGAAATCAGAATCGAATTTTGATGCGTATTCGCTTAAATTATCATTTGTTGTCCCCTCTCTTACGAAGGAAAAATCTTTGGCCGCCATGACACCGTATATATGCGGTGTATGGCGGCGCATGCGCATGCAAGYTCTTCTGSACCCTTTTCCCCGCGAGAGGACCGTTAACCGAGCGGGTCGAAAAGGGGCTGGGACTGGACTACTGTGGTATCCGAAACGACCCATGCCATTGGTCATGTGTGATTATTACTACTTGTAACACTATTATAAGATATCATTATAGGTATCATAAAAAACCTTATTGATATTGATAATATTGATAATATTGATAATATAACTTAATATCATTGACATTATATTCATTTTACCGTAGGTATCTTGTCCATGTATACCTGCCAAAAAAAACAACAACGAATGACTGAAATGAAAATAAAACGAATAATGTCATTTTAAAAACGTACCCTGAAGGAGCTTTTGACAGACATCTCCTTGCTTAATATCACCATGGTAAAGAACAGCCGTCCCATCCGTTGCCATGGATTCCAGTTGCTTAATATCAAGATGAACACCTAAGCCGACACATACCAATCTGAACCCCAAGCTCTTCACTTGTTGAGCTTCCCGAAGACAAATCTTGAACGAATCACCAAACATGTCGTCTGTCATTAAAACCAACGTCTAAACCAAAATAATGACACTCATTTTTTTACAGAAAAAGCTTAGAGTACAGACATTAATAAATGTGTGCAACACTTTAGACTATTTACTACAAAATAGTGTTAATTAAACAATAGAAAACAATATTATTAGCATAATTTAGCAGTATTTAGTGGTATTTATGTTGCACAGTTTTAGTGTTTGTAGAGTGATTGCACTTAATCCGTGCAACTGTACAAACTAAATAGTGCTTTTTAGTTGTATTTAGTAAATCGTGCATGCGGTATGCAAAYTAAATTGAGTTGATTCAAATGAAGCATTCAATACCGTCTGCTTCAGGTCCACTTTTAGTACAAATTAATGCTACTTAGATTTTGTACAGTTGCACGGATTAAGTGCGTTCACTCTACTCTTGTACCCTGATTTAGTTTGCAGAAAATCATTCTCCCAAGCAATTCAATTATACAGTAAAATCATGCGTACGTAATCGGCGCATAGACCAATTTTCCCGTGTGATGTGGTTCGTTGAGTGGCATGTTTATATATTATTTTTAAGTGTATTTCGATAAGATGATATTTGTCCATATCATCAAAAGAAGAAAATGTTGACCTGCTACTGACTATCGTTCAATTCTTTCATTTGGGGATGTTCAAGAACGCTTATTTTCGAAGTGGTTTCGAAGTGGCTCAAAAACGAGTTTAAGTTCAAGTTCAAGTTTAATTCAATAAATCATAATAATTTACACATGAGTAGTTAGCGGGCATCGCAATTAGTTAAGACTATTCAGGGCGATGCCCGCTATAAATACTAATTTAGATTACAAAATGTAAAAGTTTATAACAAGACAATGAAGAAAAAAAGAAAATTTTAATCAGGTTTATGTGAGAAAATGTTCT